AGAGGGATTTTATATTTTGTGTGTGTGTGTGTGTGTGTGTAAGAGAGAGAGAGAGAGAGAGAGAGAGAGAGAGAGAGAGAGAGCGAGCGAGCTCGATGGGCAGAACTCCTAGTGGGTTAAGGAGACTTAGGAATCCCCGCCCCCTAGTGCAGGCTTCTGGGCAGAGCCACAAACACAGGCTTCCTGTAAGTCTGCCTGCTTTTCTGAACTCTTCAGACTCTGCGCCCTTTCCTTTTCTCCTTCCTGTCTGTTTTCTAACCAAGCTTTCCTTAATGCTTGGGTTGCCTTGGCACTTCTCCTTTTCCTCTAAACCACCATTCCCCGCCCCGACATGCCTCTGCTAGTTCCCCACGTCTGACCTCCATGCGGGCTCCAAACCCCATGGCTTCAAGGCCTTTCTACTTCTCCCCTCCATCCTCTTGCTCAGTGCAGCTGCTATTTACAGCCTGCCTGCCCTGTTTTTCCTTAAATTTCAGTAAAATTGCCTCATAACATCCATTGGAGCCCATTCTTAAATTCTTTTATGAATGAGTCTAAGAACTCTAAAAGGGGCCCCCCCTTTCTTCTGTGTCACTATTTTAGATACCGAGTCTATGCAAGCTTTAATTGCTGGAACCAGAAGAGGGTGTCAAATACTACACGAAACATGTATCTTAATAAGCAAAATATTCATTGACAGAGAAACCAGAAGATATATTTAACCACTCCGGTAGACTGAGAAGACAGAAAGAAACCCTTAGAGTTTCATTACCTAAGACTTCTCTCTTGGCCGTTTCCGTCTATGACCAAATGGTTGTCGGAGAAGTCATTTAAAGGGCAACTGTAGCCTTAAAACCGACCACACATTGCTGTCATCAATCCCAGACCCCTCTCTTCATCTAGCACCTGCTTTTGGACACTAGCGTTCTATGGTTCAAGCACGCACTGTCAGGCTGTGTTCCTGCCTTGGCCAAAAGGCAAAGGAATTCACCATGGTTACTGGGGGTTGCTTCAACAGCCTGGGAACTGGCTTTCTCTATGACCACAAAATAATGCTTGAAAAGTCAAAGCAATCACGGATGTGGGGGTGGGGAAACCCTGATAAATAAAGAAAAAATACATTAAAAATTCTAAAAGCTTCCTGATGGTTGATCTGGGGAGAATTCTTAGACAATTAGATTTCTGCACCCAGGCTGGCTTTGTGGTGATGAGCAGACCTTTCATTTCACCGAGGCCTCAAAGCTTATGTTCAAAGCCAAAGACTATGACTCTGTAACAGTGTAGGCCTTTCCAGCGCAGGGTGGGGGTGAGTGGGCATGGTGGCCTAGGGGCTGGTCCAAGCAGCAGGGAGCCAGCTCAGGGCACAGAATGGCCAACTCTGAAGAAGGAAAGCCCCAGGCGGTGCCCACCCAGACCTACCGTCCTCCAGGGTGGTGGTGATGATTTCCTGAGAAGAAGGTCCCGTGCCGGCCCGGTTGCAGGCCTGCACCACCAGGCCGTACTGTGTGAACTTGTTCAGGTTGTCCAGAGTATACACCTCACTGTCCCCCGTGGTGTCAATACTGATGATGTTGAACTGGAAGTTGCCCCCAGTACTGTACTCTCGGTAACCTATTTGGTAACCACGTATAATCCCATTTTGCAAATGTTTCTTGGGAGCCTAAACAGGAAAGGGAAGAACACAGTAAGGACAAACCAAAACATTAAAAAAAAACAGCTATAAACAAAGCAGCAGCAAACTCATGCACATCGCTCCCCTGTCCAGGAGGGGTGCACCCCAAGACTTCTAAAGGACGCCTCAGGGAAACCTGCCCCCATAGGCTGTACCTTTACTATATGCACAAACCTATGATCCTGTGATAAAGTTTAATTCCTAAGTTAGGCACAGTGGGAAATTAACAACCATAACTAATGATAAAAATAACTAATAATAAAAAGAGAAGAGTTAGGTCAATGTATTGTCATAGGGTTATTTAAAACATATAAATTGCTTATTTCTGTAATTTCCTACTCAACAGTATCAGGTCATGGCAGATGGGGTTAATTGAAATGTGGAGAGTGAAGCCACAGGTAGGCTGGACTGCGGCACAAGTGCTTGTCGCCTGGCCACACCTTCTTTGCCTGCATGCATGCACCTGACATGACCTCCCTCTGCCATGCTACTGTGTGACCCCCAGTTTTCACAGGAAGTCACCACATACTAGTGGCAGGAAATAAATCTGACACTCCAGAGTCTGCGTTCCCAGCCCTCGGGTCAGGCTGCTGTGGTTGACATATCTCACTGGGGGAAGTTCCAAAAGACAGTCTTAGTTTGTAGTGTCGACATTGACACACACACACACACGTGCATGCACATGTGATTTCACTGTGAGGCAGAGAGCAGCCCTTCCTGCTAACTAGGACACTGAGCTGGGCTCTAGGCACTGGTTATTCAAGAACTGGGAAACAGAATTGACTTAAACAGGCAGAAAAGGCCCTGTCCTTGGGGAGCTTACATTCTAAGGCGGAACCCAGAATTACTTCTAGAAAGAACACAGACATTCGAGGGGGGCTTGGTCACTGAGAGGGGAGAACAAACCTCCTTCAATAGGTCCATGTGCATCATTCTGGAGTCATCCCATGGTGAGGGGAGCCACAGAGATCTCAGCTGTGCACACAGTCTTGGGTCAACTCTACTGAGCTGAGGATGTGTTTTTTTTTTTTAATTTTTAATAACTACATGATTAGAAGCATTTCACTACAGCTTTAACATATTCAGTAACACACTCCAGAGCAAGAGTACATCTCTTTCACAAGTGGGTGCAAGTTTCTAGGTTCACAGTTGAATTCATACAGTTATACAATATTGAACTCAGTATAAGCCCTGTAAGACAATAAGGACGTGTTTTCAATGACATGTTGGCGTCACTTGAGGAATTACCCCTCTCAAATATCAGAGCAGCACCAGGGAATGTGCTATGTGATAACAGTTTTGTAGCCTTTGGGTCAGTTAATGGGTGTGTGTGTGTGTGTGTGTGTGTGTGTGTGTGTGTGTACAGTTGTTTCCATGTATATATAGGGGTGTTAGTTGTTTTTAGAACTCCACTTAGATACTAGACTCTGGGAACACTCAGGTCCGTTATATGAAATGTCATACTGTGTGCTAGAATCACACACATGTTCCTGTCTACTTTGAATTACCTCCAGATTCTTGATAATAGTTAATGCACATGCCATGTAAAGAGCTGTTATGGTGTATTGTTTGGGAACAGTGATAAAGAAAAACGTCTGAACAAGTTGAGTACTGTTCTAGTTTATTTCTGTTGCTGTGAGAAAATACCCTGACCAAAAGCAACCTAAGGGAGGAAGGGTTGATTGGGCTTAAAATTCCAATTTGCAGTTCATTTTGGGGAAGTCAAAGCAGGAACTCAAACAGCTAGCCACACCACATCCATAGCCTCAGCAGGGAACTGAACTCACTGTGCTCCCCACACCACATCCACAGCCTCAGCAGAGAACTGAACTCACAGTGCTCCCCACACCACATCCACAGCCTCAGCAGGGAACTGAACTCACAGTGCTCCCCACACCACATCCACAGCCTCAGCAGAGAACTGAACTCACTGTGCTCCCCACACCACATCCACAGCCTCAGCAGAGAACTGAACTCACTGTGCTCCCCACACCACATCCACAGCCTCAGCAGGGAACTGAACTCACTGTGCTCCCCACACCACATCCATAGCCTCAGCAGGGAACTGAACTCACTGTGCTCCCCACACCACATCCACAGCCTCAGCAGAGAACTGAACTCACTGTGCTCCCCACTTGCTGACAAGTGCTCAGCTGCTTTCCTCCTGTCTTACATAGTTCAGGAGCCTCTGCCCAGGGAATGATGTCACCCGCAGTGGGCTGAGTCATCCACATCGATGAAGGATCAAGGCAGCTCCCACAGACACACCCACCCACAGGCCAGCCTGATCCAGACAACTCCTCAGTTGAGACACCTCAAGAGACTACAGGTTGCAGCAAATGGACATTTAAAACTAACCAGAATACATACAAATGCAATTTTTTCCTGAGTTTTTGATCTTCAGTAGGCTGAATTTCTCAGATAAGAAGGGGGGGCTACATCTACCCATGTCTATGTATCTGTCAATCATTTATCTATCATCTATTGTCTATATACTTATCTATTAAACATCTATCATATCTATCACCTATTATATATCTATCTATTTACCACCTGTCTACCTATCTATGTATCTATCATCTATCCTTTATATATCATCTATATATTTATCATCTACCTATCTTCTGTTTATCTATTATCTATTATTTATCTATCATCTATTCATTTATACACAAATGATATTTATCATTTATATATTTTTCTATAATCTACCTATCTTCTACCTGTTTCCTGTCTATCATCAGTCTATCATCTATCTATCTACCTACCTATCTATCTATCGTCTATCTATCTATCTATCTCTCTATCTATCTATCTATCTATCATCCATCAATCATCTATCTATCTATCTATATCTATCTATCTATCAATCATCATCTATCATCCATAAATCATCTATTTCATCCACACTTAAATACAAACTATGAACTTAGCTCCCAGGGTGTATAGACTCCTGCCATCTGAAAGTACATATAATCCAGGGAAAATAAGCACACAAGGACTCTGACGAGCTGTGACAGGCTGGATGCATGGTGCAGGGCTGGAAGGTGAAGGCCAGCAAGTGTCCCGGAAGTGGCAAGTGAAAGCTGCTCAAAGGAGCAGCAGCCAGGGGAGCGAGGAAGGATGGCCTGAGATCAGGAAGTGGAGGCAAGGCTGTGTGGGGAAGAGCTGGCAGGAAGGGACAGGGAGAGGGTGCCCAGGAAGGAGACATGACTGAAGCAGGCGGGTAGAGCTTCAGGGCAGAGCACGTCTTTGAAAACCTATGACCCAGGGAGGAAGGAAAGAACACAGACTATGAGATACCAGAGACAGGTTCTGGGCGGGCAAGCAGGATGGATGGTGTCAGCAAACACTGTGGGTAGCCTAACACGCTCTCCTCCCAGCATGCCCCAGACTGTCTTTAGGACTGAGCCACAGAGGAAGCATTTCTTTTATTCATTTATACAATTCTAAGTTTTAAGTAGACCCCGAAAGTGGTGCATGCTGGGGGGACTTGCTGTTTGTACAGCAAGTTCCTTCAGGTTTGGCTTTCCTTTGAGTTTAATTGCTGCTCATCCACCAGGCTGCTATAAGACATGTATGTGGTACTAACACGGTCACTCAGCAGTCACGTTAACCGCTTTACTCTAGACAAGAGTCAGAGTTAGACCCTGACTTAGGTGCTCACGCATCTCTTACTATAAACAGAGGACCAGCGTCCCCCGATCCAGATGTATTTCCTGTTATGTTGATGGGCTTTGTCTATTCATTTTGTTTTCAAATACTCCTAAAGATTTTAGAGTTTTGGAATTAGATTACACAGAAATTGCTACCTAACAACCACTGAATTGCATTTACAACTTTGAGTTAATTAATAAAATTATTTTTCTGCAAAAATCATCACGTACAAGTCAATTTTACCAACAAAGAGATTTCTCCTATTTCATGTAGTTTCTTTTCGTAATTATGAGATAAGTGATTCAAATATAAAAGATAAGTTTTGCAAATTGGATTCATATCCATTAAGCATTCTAATTGCTCAGCTCCCTGTAAGGCTTCAAGCCTCCTTAAGAAATCAAGTCAGAATCACTGTATGAGGGCTATGCAGTCAGGTCGAGAGAGAAGTGCAGACGGTGGAATTGAACAGCTATAAGAAAATGTGTAAGTTGAGCAAACGATTTAGAAGTTTTCTAGAAGCAGTGAAGGCAGCACTTTGCTGACATTTAGCGCCCCAGGTTTGGGAAGGTGATGGCTCTGATCTGTGATGGGACAATGGTCCCTCCTCTCTGGGCTAAGAAAACTTTGGAACTGGCTTCTGTTGGAGACATATAAGGGCTTTGCTCTGATCAGGTCCAAGACTTTGTTTAAAATAAAAACAACATCCCTGCACAAAGTGAAGTCACTTAAAAATTTTCACAAGGGGTTGGGGGAGCTACTAAGGCCCATTCCTAACCCAGAAGCTACTGGCAGTTGATGGCAGCTGGGGGACAGAGAGTCACTTTTCTTTAGCAGTGTGGCTACTGGTGATTCCCTGTGGCCCTGTGGATGGCTCCACATAGGGGTAGTGCTAATTGGACGCAGTGGATTAATAAAAATAACTAAATAGAAAGTTATAGGAGGACATGAAGCTGGGAGGGAGATATGATGGGGGTCCTGGGAAGAGTAAGGGGCGGGGAGTGATGGGTGACCATGATCAAGATACAGCATATCCATGTGTGAGATTTTCAATGAATAAAAATTGAAAACATTCTTCACATTTTTCTTAGAACTAAATTTCTATCCTGTGTATTCTGGAACACAGACTATTTTCTTTATCTGATACTTTTGCAAAATACTGAAAATGATAAATATTTTACTTGGTTTTATCATTAAGAGTGTAAGGTGAGCATTCCCCGTTCACATCCAGACGCACTGCCCTTCTGTTCTCAACCTCCCAGGCCCTTCTGTTCAGCACCTACAGTCCTGTCTGACTTCCTTCTCATTTAATAAGTTATTATGATCATAGTCTC